AACTAGTCAAAAACAGTCCACACAAATGCATCATATCAACCCATGAAGGTTAGAAGTGGAAAGAAATCAAAACATGCTTGAAAACAACCAAAAATCACATTTTAGTCCAGTGTTAATCGATTAACCATTTTCCTGTGCAAATTGGTTAATCGATTAACCACTTGAAAACTTCAAAAGTTGCATTGGTTAATCAATTAACCAGTTTTGTACTGCAACTGGTTAATCGGTTAACACTGCACCAGAAGCAGAAAAACAGCAATTCAAAAGCACTTTCAACAATTAATTCAATGTGCAATCATCCAAATGATCATATAATCAATTATGCACGAATTCAACACCAAAAATCAGTGATCAAACATTAATCAAACTTAATCAAGCATTGAGACCACAAATCAAAAAAATCAAAATCACCAAAATCAATCAAAACTTGAAGATCTACATTGTGATTATTCAAATAAGCTCAAAGCAAGAATGGATCTAGGATTAACCAACCTTCAAAGTTGAGATTTGCTTTGGTATGTGTTGATCTACTGCAAATTGATAGATCCAAGCCAGAAACCCAAGAAATCTTCAAGATCCAAGATTTTTCTTGCAAGAGAAGTGAAGAACAAGGCAAAATAAGTCAAAATTGATCCAAGAATCACTTACAAACTTGCTTCCAAGATCAAATCCAAATCCAAACGAAAACCAAGTGATGAATTGAAGATGAATGATGGATGTATAGCTCTAGAATTCAATGATTTAAATGAAGAATCAATTAATTCAAGTGAAAAAAAGCTTTAATGGAGGTTTTGGAGTGTAGAAAAGTTGAGAGAATTTTGAGAGCAAATTCTCAAGAATGAGAGAGTGTGAAATCTGAAATTGGAAATTATGGTGAGGTTTGGAGCCAATTCACTTAAATAGGCTCTTGGTAGGAGTAGAATTATGGTTTGAAGTGAGGTTATGAAAAATGGAATGGAATTAGGAATGAAAAATTGGAGGAAATTTGAATTGATTTTTAAAGTTAAACCAAATTTAGAGTGATTCTAGATCCTTCTTCTGGTGTAAAATCAAATTCACAAATGATCAAAATAGACCCCAAAAGTGACAGCATTGAAAATGAACGCTACTGAGCAAAATTCACTATGGTTAATCGATTAGCCATTTGCTAATGCAAAGTGGTTAATCGATTAACCACTCACAAACTTTCAAAAATAGCGTCATTTGGAAGGAAACTTGCACATTTGTCTGTTTTCACCCGTTCTGAGCCACGTTAAGCCTCTGAAACTTGCCTTTTGATATTATGAATGTGAAAATGTCTGAAATAACCTGTGATATGTCTCTTGTGCTGAAAATAATCTGCTGAATAAAATAAAATCGGTCACTTAATTGCTGGGCAAAATAAATGTCGAAACCTCTAGCGCACGCTGTTTAAACTCTTGCAATGAAAAAGACCTATGAGCCATAAAAATACCTTGATCCCATGCCTCGAGAATCAATGTCATGATATGCAGAATGCAAAATGCAGAGAAACATAAGCCAGTAGATCAAAAACGAGGAGGCAAATTTTGGAGTGCTACAGAGTGTCACTGATCAGAGCAACAAAATCAAAATATTCCATAAAACAGGACAAGAAGAATAGCCTCAATGCCATCCTTTAGTTTTCAGCAGCTACTCATTTACTTGCTCGTCTGTATCCCAAGAAGGAGCACAAAACCACAAAAAAAACAAAGGGGTGAAAATACGCTCGAAACATATAATGGTGCAAAAGTATGCAACGGTAGCCTAAGCAAACAAACATCAACAATCACATATCTCATTCACATCATTTCCACACAATTCATTCACATTAACCACATAAGTATTCTCAGCCACCAATATCAACATAATCATTCAATTACATATGCAAACAATGGATGCAATATATGAATCACCATGAATCTACATGCATACGGTACCGTTATGGACAACACATGTCTGTTTCACTTCTGAACTCCCTCCTTGGAACCAGAGCACACCAATTCGCTACTAACACCTTTAGTAATGCTTCACCGATTCCCATCTAGAACCAGCTACGCGCTCCTGAATCCACACCACTGGACTAGAGCACACCAAAATTGGACCAAAGTCTATACATCATGATGCATGATTTTCAACAACATGCACCATCACCAAAATTATCACCATACAATTACTACAATTATGCACAATGTCATCCTCAATACACAACAATTGATTATTTCTATGATAAATAATAAACAACACCAAAATACCTCAAAAAGTGGCCAAACAGTAACATAATCACAACACAACCTCGAAAATAGGAATTGATAGCTCAATTCCAAGCAACTGAACAAACGGTGCTAATTTTGGCAACATGACTGGCTGCCCGTCACCAATGAGAATATGTGATATTATGTAAGATATCAGACAAAATTTCTCTATGGGAATTAATGTTGCTAGAGTATGAAAGGAAAAGTTAATAGCAAAGAAAATTATTGAATGGGGTGCTGATAAGAAATATGCAAATCTATGGAGGTATGTTGCTAAGTTATCAAAGGTTAATCATGTGAATACTGTGAAGATCAATGTTGAAAAACCATTGCCATCGATACAACTAAGGTTTGCCTCATTATACTTCTGTTTTGATGGTTGTAAGAAGGGTTTCATAAATGGATGTAGGCCATTTGTTTGAGTTGATGGCTGCCATCTGAAGACCAAATATGGTGGACAACTTCTAATTGTTGTGGGCATGGATCCCAATGATCAATATTTCTCATTAGCTTTTGGTGTTGTTGAAAGTGAAACAAAGGAGAGTTTGAGGTGGTTTCTATTATTACTAATGGAAGATATTGGACAAGAAAGAAGATATGTATTCATTTCATATCAATAGAAGGTATGGAATTAACATCATGTTTTTAGTTCATTTCAACCCTTATAACTGTTGCTAAACTAATGCCTATCTTGAATTTGTTTCAGGGATTAGTGGTTATTTTTAAGGAAATGTTTGAAAGGATTAAACATAGGTTGTGTCTAAGACACTTGTATGCAAATTTTAAGAAAAGGTTTAGTGGTGAAACCCTTATAAGGGATTTGATGATGGGAGCTGCTAAGGCCACTTACTATCAAGGTTCGATCCAAAAGATGAATGAAGTGAAGAAAGAAGATGTCAAGACTTGAACTTACTTAATGAAAATTCCTACCAAATGTTGGAGTACGCATGCATTTAGTTTTTATCTTAAATGTGATGTTTTAATGAACAGTATATCTGAGTCATTTGATGCCACCATTTTAGTTGCTAGAGATATGCCTATTTTAACCATGTGTGAATGGATTAGGAAGTATACGATGAATAGGTTAGCAACATCTGCCACCAAACATGAGAAATTATGGGTTGAATGCAATCAAGTGTGCAATCAAATGTTGATTTGCGGGCAAATATTGATGTGCAGGCTAATGTGCAAGACCATGTTGATGCAAGTCAAGTTGTGAACAATGTTGTATCTAAGAACAATGCAGTCCATATTGATACAAGTCCAGCTGAATCGTGCGTGGTTGACACAAGTCAGATTGAGGCAAGTCAAGCTAAGGGAAACAAAAGAAGAAGCCTTTGTCATCTCACAGTTACAACAATTTGTGGGAATCTCTTGAGTTGTTTGAACTTGACCAACTTCATTGTCCCACATGAAAAATTCACAGCTTACCCCACTCTGCAATTAGGTTCAAAACAATTGTAAGAGAAAATATTAAGCGAAAATCAAAGAACAACATGAACACGAACTTATCCCTGAATTTCAACATTTCCAGAATTTTTTATTAGGATTATTTATAGTGTTTAATATGCACATCTTCATTAGTTCATTACATTCACATCTGGGCAAACTCAGCCCACTTAAGTTACCAATAGATGAAGTTTTGCTTCCACCCATATTTTCAAACACGAAGAAGATGAATGTCGATAAAACTGAGAACGAAATACAAGATCATCTACAAACCTTCGAAAGGAAATTAAGGTTGAAAAAGATGAATGTTCAACGAACTAGTAATGATGAAGAAGATTAACCCTAAAAAAAGAATTAGGGTTGATATAGTACACGCAAGGCCATGTTGGATTAAGGAGGAAACAAAAAATTCACATCAGTTTCTATTTGCATGCCACACTGGATTAAATATGAAATATGGATTGAAATAATGCACTTATGATCCATAGAAAGAGAATTTCATATTATAAGGAGGGAATACAAAAAATCTTTTACACAGATGCAAACTAAAACTCGCTTACATTACACCAAAACTCACATACATTACAAAATGTCATATATTTAATCCTAAAAAATAAAAATAAAAATCCATGCACGTGAATGTACAATAATGTCACCCATTTTCACTTAACAATGCATGCACAGGAATACACAATAATGTCACCCATTTTCACTTAACATAAAAACACTTATTCTGTCTTGTAATGATTCTCATTCATACATATATCCACTCATACAATAAAAAACAAAAAGTATGAACATGACACCCCAAGCCACTTGTTATGCTTTTTCTTTAAAAAATCAAACATATGTCGAATAGTCAAATTCCATCAGCAGCAGCCATACTTTAGAGATTACATTTAAATAACCAGACAAATTAATCAAATTTTATATCTCAGTTCTACGCTTTACCCCTATGCTTTCCATTATGTGTCACTTTCATGCATGTAAAAAAAATTAATTTATTAATATGAAAAAGAAAAATAATGTATCATTTTATTAAATCATTTTCTATTAATAGTATAGGGAAAATAAATTAAAGAACCGAAAGAAAATATAGTAATTATATTTAAAGATATAATAAAAGAGAGGTTCTAGTAGTACATAAGATATTGTATTAAAAAATGAAAACCACATGCTCTTAGTCTTTGGATTTGTAATCCTTATCTTCAAAATGGAATATTATTTTGTCTATATATCAGTTTGATCAAGTATACAAAGATCATAGTGAGCAAAACCAGTACTAGCTAACTTATCAGTATGGCTATCCAAGAAGCTTTGATAGATAGGCCAAGAAAATCCCTTCCCAAAACTTTCTGGTTAATCCTCTCTTTAGCTGCTATCATAAGCTCATCAGCCCTTATTGTTTCTCATCTCAACAAACCAATCTCCTTCTTTCACCTGTCATCAACTCCCAATCTGTGTGAGCATGCTGTTGATACAAAATCATGCTTAACTCATGTATCAGAAGTTGTTCAAGCCCCAACCTTGGCTAACACAAAAGACCACAAATTGAGCACACTCATATCCTTATTAACCAAGTCCACCACACACATTCAAGAAGCCATGAACAAGGCCAATGTTATCAAACGCCGAGTTAACAACCCTAGAGAGGAGACGGCTTTGAATGACTGTGAGCAACTAATAGACTTGTCCATGGATAGAGTTTGGGACTCAGTGTTGACTTTAACAAAAAATAATGTTGATTCACAGCAAGATGCACACACATGGCTAAGTAGTGTGCTCACTAACCATGCAACATGTCTGGATGGTTTAGAAGGTACATCTCGGGTCGTTATGGAAAGTGACATCCAAGAGTTGATATCAAGAGCTAGATCTTCTCTGGCCGTGCTTGTTTCCGTTTTACCTACAAAGAGTAACGACGGATTCATTGATGAATCATTGAACGGTGAATTTCCCTCATGGGTAACGAGTAAGGATCGAAGGCTTTTGGAGTCTACAGTTGGGGACATAAAGGCCAATGTTGTGGTGGCTAAAGATGGGAGTGGTAAGTTCAAAACCGTGGCTGAGGCTGTGGCGTCTGCACCAGACAACGGTAAGGCAAGGTATGTTATCTATGTGAAAAGGGGAACCTACAAAGAGAAGGTAGAAATCAGTAAGAAAAAGAAGAATGTGATGCTCGTCGGTGATGGTATGGATGCAACAATAATCACAGGCAGTTTGAATTTTATCGATGGAACAACCACTTTCAATAGTGCAACTGTTGGTATAGATTCTTCCCCTTGTCTGTATTTATCATTTCAATATTTTTGTGACAACTAATTTGTGAATGTTTAATTTGGTTTTGCAGCTGCTGTTGGGGATGGGTTTATAGCTCAGGACATAGGGTTCCAAAACACGGCAGGCCCAGAAAAGCACCAGGCAGTTGCTCTCCGCGTAGGTGCTGATCAATCTGTCATCAACCGTTGTAAAATTGATGCATTCCAAGACACTCTCTACGCACACTCCAACCGACAATTTTACCGTGACTCCTTCATTACCGGTACTGTTGACTTTATCTTTGGAAACGCGGGTGTTGTGTTCCAGAAGAGCAAACTTGTGGCCCGAAAGCCCATGAGCAACCAAAAAAACATGGTCACGGCCCAAGGTAGAGAAGACCCAAACCAGAACACTGCAACTTCAATTCAGCAATGTGATGTCATACCAAGCTCGGACCTCAGGCCTGTGCAAGGCTCCATCAAAACATACCTAGGCCGCCCATGGAAGAAATACTCCAGGACTGTTGTGTTGCAGTCCGTCGTGGACGGCCATATTGACCCAGCAGGATGGGCTGAATGGGATGCCGCGAGTAAGGATTTTCTGCAAACATTGTATTACGGAGAGTACTTGAACAGTGGAGCAGGTGCTGGTACCAGCAAGAGAGTGACATGGCCTGGTTATCATATCATCAAAACAGCTGCAGAGGCTAGCAAGTTTACAGTAACACAGCTCATCCAGGGCAATGTTTGGTTGAAGAACACAGGGGTAGCCTTCATTGAAGGCCTGTAGAAATGGGCTTCAGCAGGCGTGTACTATATTATGTTTCTGATAGAGTGAAATTCGCAGGAAATAAAACAGAAACATTATGCTTTATGGAAGAATGAGGTTAATTAAAAAAATTTCCTACATATGATGTAACAATTGTCTTCTACCTGTGTTAAAATGAATGCTTCATGTATGGAAAATAAACATTGTAGTTACAACAAAAATCTTTGACAATCTATCTTTCACTTAAAGAAAAAATTCTTATAAATACATTATTATCTAGATTTGAATATTCTAATCGACTGTAACTTTGATTCATGAATGAAAAATCCAAAAACACCGAAATATTTAATAAATATTTTGAAGAGTAAAATGTACAACTAGAAAGGATGAGGGGAGCCATGTTAACATTGCTGCATACTATGTACCCAGTAAATTTGAGTAATAAAATACTAACCTGTAAAAAGGCATCATTTGAAACTGCAGCTAAGCGGGAATGCATTCTTTCCAAAGCATCCAGCAAAATGATAATTGACTACCTTAAGCGCGTCAGTGTCGACCTGGCTGCAGAAAACAACTGTGGCTTATAAATACTACTGCAATTGTATTTAAATTTGACATAGGTTGCTTTGCCCAGTTAAGTCATTGCCGATAATTATGCTCTAAGTGAACTGATTTTATTTTCCAATTAAGCACGTGAATGTTAACAAACCATTGCCTTTCAAAATTAAAGATAAGTGCTGCAAGTAACGGGATGGGACCCCAACAATGGAGGAAAATATTTTTATTTGGTCCTCTAACCTTCCCGAGCAGCAGTCTTGTTGTCACGGAGAGCCAAAATCCCGCAATACCGGGCACTTTGCCACGCCGTTATAGCGGATTATGTGGAAAAACCCGCAATATCGGCCAACATTTACCATTGCTGCATGCCCAAAAACTGTCACATATATCCGTCATGGCGGATATTTGATTACACTCTGTGCAGTACCTGAATACAGTAAATTCAAAAAGATGAAACCAGAAACTCAATGCACAAAATTAAACACTTGGTACAATAATATAAATTAAACACCTGGCATTTACATTTTTGTACATAAACATAGAAAGCTAATCGAAAGAGGGTTAAATCCAGGTGTGATGTTTCTAAGTCGACGGTGAATTTTGGCAGCGATAGTAGCCACTGGGTTTTACAATTATCGGCATCAGTTGTGTTTGGATCTGGCGTGTTTGAATATGAGTAACAACCAGGGTTGTCCATGGCGGATGGCAGTCCATGGCGGAGAGCCAAAATTCTGCCATACCGGTCGCTTTGCGTCGGCTCTATAGCGGATTATGGCAGAAAAACCCGCAGTATCGGCTGATATTTACCATTACGGTGAACCCAAAAACCGCCACATATATCCACCATAGCGGTCATGGCATCCTATTTGATAACACTGGTAACAACTCAGATTCATTACCAAAGAAATCGCATGCCTCTATACCTAAGTGTTTTAATTTGTAGGATAACTTATCCCAGGTGTTGTTAACTGATCCTGTTATCAATCCCGAATAGCAGCTGATCCCAAAATTGCTATAATGAGATATGATGGCACAATGAGACAGGGTGGGAGAGGAGAACCCCAAATGCTGTTAGTGTTTTTTAACTGAAATTCCTAAAATACCTGAATCTAAAAGCTCTAATGTTTAATCTTAAGGAATTTGCTGTAACTTTCAATCTCATTATCATGTGTGGCGCTATTGAGGCCTCAACAAGCCGCTGTTTTGACCGCTAAAGCAGCTGCTGGGGCTACTACACCAAGTGCTCCCCTTCTGAAAGGGGGCAGGGGCTGCCCGCTGCCGCTAGACTGCTGTTGCACCCTGTAACATTGACAACACTGCTTATCCCTATTGTGCCATAGAAGAGACCATTCAAACTATTTCATCAGAGTTATCACAGTTACATTACACTATGATTTATTCATTCATATAACATTGATTTTCGCCTTTGAAACACGGCACTATGAAAACGACCCCGACACTGATGCAGCCACCCTGATAATAATTTGAATAAACAAATAAATTAAACATAATCACAAGTGTCGGTGCAGTTGGTCGACAGCGACACGCCAGGCCTATTTTTTAAGAGGTGTGAGTGCTACATAGATTTTTCAATCCCTTAAAAGAAAAGAATTACAAAATTCACGAGGACCACCATAATAATTTTAAATGTTAAATCCTATATCAATATATATTCCAGGGTTTAGCGAAATCAAAGGTTTCAAATCCAGGGTAAGAGACACTTTTTCACCTTGGGAACAAGATATAGCAATTTTGAAATAAAACTATAAACTCTTACCGGAATACAATCGGTGCAAGACGTCGCAAGGAGGTGATATATTCCTCGCTTTCATATCTAAGGTTTATATGATTCGTTCTTCATCTTTCGTTTCTTTATCTAAACACTATTTTAGACACCGCATGCATTGTGTTGCATTATTTCTTTCAGCTATCTTTACACTCCTTCGTACACATACCGTATGCATTTCACAAATACATACGCATACCGTATGCATTTCACAAAATACATACCATACGGTATGCATCCCGTTAACAACGAAACTGTACATAAATATAAATATGAATATGAATATTAATGTGAACAGTACCTATGAATACTATTTGCAAACAATATATAAATGGTAACTTTTAATAATAAATTAAAGTTGATAAATGAAACCTAAAAAATTGATTAATATAGTAATGAAGTTGGTTAACAAAATTCAGATATTAAAAATAATTTTTATCAATAAAACAAAGTTGGTTAATACAACGTAAAATATTGGTTAACGAAGCTTTAAAGTTAGTTAATAAATGTTCAGATATAAAAATAATTTTTAAAAATAAAGTAAAGTTGGTTAATACAAAATAAAGAATTGATTAATGAAATTATAAAATTGGCTAATAAATGTTCAAATATAAAAATAAAAAAAAAATTTATATTTTTTTAAGAAAATATTTTATTATTTGCCGTATTGGTGAACAGTAAAATAGAGAGTAGTGTATATGTTGTTGGTGTACAAATAACATTTCTCTATTGTTTTTATAATAGATAATGGACAAAGTCTTACTATATATTTTTGTTGTGAAAACATAATATAAAATTCAAAAACTTCAATTTAATTTTCGAAATGCATTTTATGTCTCATTGAAACATGTTTGAATTGAGTCTATCTCATATATATTTTTTTAAATTTTATGTTAAATATGTATCTCCAAGAACAAATTCATATACATTTTTATACATTTCTCAATGAAATGTTTTTATTTTACATAAATTGTTTAGATTATACATCTCCATATTCACACAAAATAAAATTTAAAGATGCATTTTCAAACTAAACGTGAGAATAAATTTTAACTTTGATTTAGAGATGCTATAATAAATTTGACAATATATTATAACTATAATTTTATTTATAATATTATTTTTAATTTTGTATAAATTAAACCACACTCTTTTGAAATAATATGAAAATAACATTTATATAAATTAATAAATTCAGAGTACACAATGAAATAAAAATAAAATAAAACCAGAAATAGTGTTCCTAATACAAATATTATATACTATTGCGTATGACAGACTCGAACCCCATGTTCCTACGCTCCCTCCTATATTATAGCATCACAACATCTAGAACATCTCTGACCTCAGAGTCATTCGAAAAGAGTTATTTGTTTATAACCTTCTGCCTAGTCTCCATGATACAATGACATCTAAATTGTTGTGAATCTTGTTGTGAATTACGACAAAATTCAATATCAATTTGTGAGACAAAGAGCAATAGCAACCAAAATAAATGGTCTTCAACAATAATAATCCGTACACAGATAATATAATAGAATAAGGCAAGAAAAAACCGAATGTTTGTTTATCCAGTGCGATCAAACGATCAACTCTAGGGGAGAGAGCAGCTCTCCAATTCACTATACTTAAAAAGTTGGCTCTCCAATTCACTATACTCAGAAAATTGTTACAAGAGATTATAGATGAGTTACAAGAAAATAGCCTTCACCTTCACGTTCCCAAGAACAATCCTATTTTCTACCTGTTGGCTCTTAATTTCGACGCCTAAATGGGATTAAAAGTAGGAAATAGATTTTTTGAAGAAATTTAATGACTTCGACTGAAGCCATATTTTTGGAATATGAGTCGAAGACGTCCTTTCTCTAGGAGAATTTATGTTACGAACTTAGAGACATATCTTAGCAGTGGAAAGATTTGATACGACAGAGGCGCCACTAAAGGCATTTCGACATGAATATTTGAATTCAAAAAGAGGAGGGAAAATTTGTTCTCATCAATTCCTCAAAGAAGACACGTGGAGTGCTTCTAGGATTCGAAGGCATGCAGAGCGACACTTGTCTCAATTTCGTTTGCTAGCCGTTAATGGAGGTTATTTCCGATTAGTATAAATAGCAAGTCTTAGTGTTAGGATTTGTGTGTGTTCAATTGTGTACAAATTCTTCAATATACTTCAAGTACCCGTGTGTAGAGAAACGAGTTTGTAAGAATGTATGTTGATGTAACACCATCTTTACATTTCAATGAAATTTAATAAATCTTTTTCATTAAGAATTTATCATTTTTTTATGCAAGTTATTATCTTCATCATTTACCAGTACTTCGATTTTATTCCTTCATGTCCAATTCCGTTTAAACTTGAAATTAGTTATTTTATCATGAACTTTGTCGAAGTGTTCATCGTCTTTTAAATTTTGTTTAAGATCAATTAGCACATGTCCTAGGATTTATGTGGTCGATCCTGCAAGTAAAACAGGTCTTTTTCGATTTGTAAGACTAGTGGTTGTTCACCAATTTTCACGGCGAACAAATTGGCACGCCCAGTGGGACAGTGCTAAGTGATCATAAAATTTACTTCAAAAATTTTGAAAATTTATTAGTTCCGCGTTCAACTTTTTCTTTGAAAAACTTCGTTGCATGTTATTAAGAAGTGGTAAAGTAGCCATCGCTAAAGAAG